ACCAGCCTGGCCAACATGGTGAAACCCCGTCTCTATAAAAATACAAAAATTACCCGGGCATGGTGGTGCATGCCTGTAGACCCAGATTACTCGGAAGGCTGAGGCAGGAGAATGGCTTGAACCCGGGAGGTAGAGGTTTCAGTGAGCTGAGATCGTGCCTCTGCACTCCAGCCTGGGTGACAGAGCAAGACTCTGTCTCAAAAAACTAAATTTAAAAATAAAAACAGGTCAGGTGCAGTGGCTCACACCTGTAATCCCAACACTTTGGGAGGCCGAGGCGGGCACATCACCTAAAGTCAGGAGTTTGAGACCAGCCTGGCCAACATGGTGAAACGTCGTCTCTACCAAAAATACAAAAAAATTAGCTGGGCGTGGTGGCACGCACCTGTAATCCCAGCTACTTGGGAGGCTGAGGCAGGAGAATCACTTGAACCCAGGAGGCGAAACTGAGATCATGCCACTGCACTCTAGCCTGGATGATAAGAGTGAGACTCTGTCTCAAAAAAATAAAAATAAAAATAACATTAATAATAATAATAAAAGTAAAGGTTTCTTCAGGTCCTGATATTCAAGGCCAGGATGATGACAGGAGACCTGGTGGTCTGGTGCCCTTCTCCTTTCACCGTGTGCTAGTGCTAGGTGTAGCCTGAGACGGAATGGACCAGCTGTCAAGGGAGCTGAACAGACAGTGAGGGAATTGAGAAACAGTCACTGGGTTTGCCCCAGCTGAGGAACTCTTCAACCTGCAAGCTCCATGATGGCATACATTTGTTTGCCTCTTTGTTCACGCCTATGTCCACCTCGAGTTCTAGCACAGTGCCTGGCACATAGTAAGTGCTCAATAAACATTTGTGGAATGAGTGATTGACCCTAAGCACTGAACTTGCAGAGTCCAGAGATTGGCTCAGGGAGCATGTCCTTTGTCACATGTAGCACAACTCTGTGGCACCAGCCCCCTGGCAGGATTAGAACCCTTCACTAATAAGCCAATGGAATCAGCTTGGACCCCACTTGGTGACATTCTGCTGTATTGCTGCCTCATGCTCCAGTCCCAGAATGACCTTCAAAACCTATCTCCGTCACTGCACTGCTCAAAATCCTTCAGTGGCTCTCTGCTCTTCCCAGATAAAATAAAGCTACATTTTTGTTGCATGTGACAAGGCGTGAAGTATCTTCATTTCTTTTCCATTTGAGAGATCATGTTTTGCAGCAGGAAATTTGTAGCCAACGCTGGTCTGACCAGACCCCTGATACAGTGAGGGTACTGGCTTGCGTCCTATACTCATTGCTATGATTTGAATGTTTTGTCTTCTCCAAAATCATGTTGAAACTTAATCCCCAATGCAGCAGTTTTGGGAGATGAGGCTCCACCCTCGTGACTAGATTAATGCCACTATGAAAAGGGTTTGCACGAGTGGATTCACTCTCTTCTGCTCATCTGCCGTGTGAGGACACAGAGTTCACCCCTCTCTTGCCCTTCCACCTTCTGCCATGTGAAGATGCAGTAAGAAGACCCACACCAGGTACCAGCATATTGATCTTGGACTTTCCAGCCTCCAGAACTGTAAAAGGATACATTTCTGTTCTTTACAAATTGCTCAGTTTCAGACATTCTGTTAGAACAGCAGAAAATGAACTAAGACACTCAATCTCAAGTTCTTCCTTTTGCTCTCTAATCCGGGCCTCCAAATCCTCCATCCCATGCCCACCAAGTCCCCAAGTTATCCCGCCTTGGGCATTGACTATCTTGCTATGCATCATACACCTTGATATAGTTTGAATATTTGTCCCTCCCCTGAAAATCTCATGTTGAAATGTAATCCCCAGTGTTGGGGGTGGAGCTAGCGGAAGGTGTTTGTATCATGGGGGTGGAAATCTCATGAATGGCGTGGTGCCCTCCCCATGGTAATGAGTTACCACAAGATCTGGTTGTTTTAAAAGAACCTGGCACCTCCTCCCCACTCTCTCTTGCTCCATCTTGTGACACGCCTGCTCCCCTTTCACCTTCTGCCACGATTGGAAGCTTCCTGAGGCCCTCCCCAGGAACAGATGCTGGCGCCATTCCTCCCGTATAGCCTCCAGAATTGTAAGCCAAAATAAACCTCTTTTATTTATAAATTACCCAACCTTGGATATTGCTTTATAGCAATGCAAAATGGACTAACACACACCTCTCATACTATTAATAGGTCATCCAAAGAGCTTCCCCCCTAGGAGATGGGGCACAAGTCCGCATACTCAGCAGTCTCCTTGAGGCTGTTGGCTCATCCATCAACCTTCTGAACCTCTGTTTTCTCATTTGTACAAAAATCTGAAGTTATTTCCTGGATATCCCTTTTCAAGATCCTTCAAAACTGCTGACACTTCTCACACTTCTGTACCCTCATCCCAGCCCTGGAAATTCTGTTCCAATCTTATTGAACTGCATGTAAACCCCGGAGCTCACCATCACCTTACCAACCTTCATGCCTTTGTCCTTCTGCTCCCTCAGCCCAGCACACCCTTTCCTTCCCCTTACCCCAACTTTCAAGACTCCACTCAAAGATCAGCCCCCTAGGAAAACTTTCTTCCACTTCTCCATCCTCAGGTGGAACTTTCCCTACCCTCCTCTTCACCCCAGCCATTTTCCATGCACAAATTACACCCCTGTGACATCCAGAGCATTTTCTTACACCTGTTTGCTAATCCACGAGTCTCTGCCTTCCAGACATCAATCAGCACCCTGAGAGCAGAATCTTCAGTGTTCTGTCTTTGTAAAGCAAAGAGATAAAATCAGAAGAGTTCGGGAGTTGGAGTCCAGTGGCTTCAGGGTGAATTCTGGCCCTACCCCACATACATTCTGATCTTAGGAGAATCATGACTATCCCTGTGCTAGATTATATTATTGGCCCCAACTCTTTATTCCCTCCTTTGTTTGTGTTCTTTGCCATGTGACTTTGCAATTTATCCCACTAATGGAGCAGAGTATATTTCCCTGCCATTTGACTTTGGGTTTGGGCATAAGACTTGCTTTAGACAACAGAATGAGGAGGAAGTGACAGAATGCCTGTTTCAAAAGATGTATTGCAGGCTTTAATCCATTCCCTTGCACTCCTGCCTTAAGAAGAACATTCTCAGGCCAGCCTTCTGCTCTCAGGAGGTTCAGAAGCATGTGGAGCTGAGCCGCCTCAGCCTAGCTCCCCATGCAGAGCCCAGCCTTGATTAACCAGCTCTGAGCCAACTTGCAAATTTGTGAGCAAGAATAAGTGATGGCTGCTGTGAACCACTGCATTTGGGGGTGGTTTGTTACTCGGCAATAGTTGACTGATACACTCTCTTCAACTCAGTGTCTTCATCAGAGGGATGATAAGTTCCTTGAGGGGCTATCATAAGATTAGATTACATTCTGAATAAAGTATAAAACTCAGTGTCTGACTCATCATAAGTGCTGACAAATGGCAGCTATTGGTTCCCTGAAAATTTCAACATAGATTTATGCTAGGACCCAGAATGTCTGCTTCTAGGTATATACACAAAAGAATTGGAAACAGTCATTCAAACAGATACTTGCAAATGACCCAAGTGTCCATTGACAGACAAATGGGTGAATAAAATATGATATATCCATATGATTAAATATTATTAAGACATAAAAAGAATGATGTCCTGGTGTATGCTACATCATGGTTGAACCTTGAAAATATTATGCTAAGTGAAATAAGCCAGACACAAAAGATAAACACTGTATGATTCCACTTATCTGAAATATCCAGAATAGGCAAATTTGCAGAGATAGAATGCAAATTGGAGGTTACCAGGGACTGGGGGGTAAGGAGGAATGGGGAATTATTGCTTACTGGGTACAGAGTTTCTGTTTGGGGTGAAGATTTGGAAACAGCTAGTGCTGAGGGTTGCACAACATCGTGAATGTAATTGACGCCACTACATTGTACACTTAAAAATGGTTAAAATGGTGACATTCCTGTTATATGGATTTTACCACATTTTAAAAATGGTACTCAGGTGTTCAAGACAATCCTGGATGACATAGAAAGACCCCGTCTCTATAAAAGATAAAAAATGAAAAAAAAATAGCCGGGTATAGAGGTTTGCCCCTGTAGTCCTGACTACTTGGGAGTCTGAGGTGGGAGGATTGCTTGAGCCTGGGAGTTCCAGCCTGCAATGAGTCATAATTGCACCACTGCACTCTAGTCTGGGTGACAGAGTGAGACACTGACTCAAAAGAAAAAGGCAGTTACTGTATTTATCTGTTCAGCAACTGTACATAGTAAACGCTGAGTAAAAGTCTGTTGAATGTTGCTGAAATAAATGAAATGACCATTGGATGGGTACATGTACAAATAACCAGAGAGTTAAATAAATGACTCAGTTAATGGTGAGCAAGTGAAGAAACCATATAAGCTCTTTACCATGGCCACCTACTTAGAAGATGTACAACAACCAGGACAAGGGACCCTACAGTCTTATGTAGAATTAACTATGTTGAGAGCAATAAGTATAAAAATCACACAAAGCAGAAAAGGCAACCTAGGGCATCCATGCAGACCTGCAGTCCCAGGAGGGCAGAAAGCAGGTCTGGGATGACAGGGCACAAGGACAGTGGCCCAGCAGGGGACACCAGAGGCTCCAGCAGTGGAAAGAAACACATGGTTGCTACAATGAGTAGCAACTCCGGCTGGTGGAAATGAGAGCGGACTGCAGGTACAGGGCTGCTACCTGCAGAGTAACATGTGTTACCAGGTTGATCTTGCCCCTCAGGGAGCCTGGGGAAAACCTAGGTTCTAGAAACCAGAAACAGTGATGATAAATAGAAACCCTTGCGCAAGAAGCACAACACTTTAAAATGTAGACACCACTTTCCCGAGGATCAGCTGACTCAGTCCTCACAACCACCTTGTGAAGGTTTATCTTACTATTTCTAATAGGCGAAGGACATAAGGCTCAGTTGGGTGACGGAATGGGTCCAAGGTTACCGGGCACACAAGAGGCAGGGAGCCATCTCCCAGGGACTGGCTTTATTGGTTCCAGTGAGAATTCCATTGGCCCCATTGAGAACTTCATTGGCCCCAATGCTGCCCCATAAGCGCACACAAGGCAGGGGTGGAACTTGAACCCAGGTGACTTCAGCCCCATATCCTATGCTCCTTCAAACACACCCTAGGAGAAAACCTTCCAGCAGCGCTAGGGTTTGAATGTGTGTCTCCAAAACTCGTGTTGAAATTTAACTGCTGTTGGAACAGTGGAGAGAGATGGGACCTTTGGGAGGCGGATGGGTCATGAGGGTTCTGCCCTCATGGGTGGGATCAATGCCATTATAAAGGATGAGTTTGGCTCTCTTTGGCCTCTTTTCTGCCTTCTGCTATGTGAAGATGAAGTGTTTTGTTCCTCCCCTTTGGAGGATGCAGCATTCGAGGCACTATCTTGGAATCAGAATCTCCAAGTCTACCAGCACCTTGATTTTGTACCTCTCAGTCTCCAGAGCTGTGAGCAATAAACTTCTGCATGTGAATTACTTAGTCTCCGGTATTCTCTGATAGCAGCTCAAACAGACGAAGACAAGTGGGGAAAAGCAGAAATCTCTCCCCTGGTGTGTCGATCTTGGATTTGAATCACAGCTTTGGTTGCTGGCTAGTTCTCCAATTTGGGGAAGCTCACTTGAACCTGTGTTCTGATCTGTAGAATGGGAATAAATGAACCTGCATTATCACATTGTCCTAAGGACGTGAGGTAACGCAGGCAGGAGTGTTTAGTACAGCATCCATCCCACAACAGGAGGTCAGTGCAGTCATGGTCACCCTTATTTGTCATCTCTTCTCTCTGGTCCCTTTCCCCCTCATCCTCCCCTCTTTGCTCCCCTTCTTTCCTCTCTTCCTGGATTCTCTCTCTCGTCTCTCATTGTTCTCTTGTCTCCCCATAAACCCACACTTCCCACGTTCTTCCATCTGGTCCCTCAAAAATGCGCAGGTCCCTGTCCTAGGGAACAGCTGGTAGATGTGAAATGTTGAGTAGCTGTTTCCCATAGGTCTGGGCTCCCTGGCCTGTCCATCCCCGCCATGTCCCTCTGCTCCACAGGGTCCATGCCCTTGGTCACACTGCTTTCTATCTTACATTCTTGACTTTATGTGTACTTTGAATAATAACTCTCCCCACCTTGGTGAGGCCACAAATTATCACTCATCTCCAGGAGAGATTAAATGTTGTCAACAGTTGGTTTCTCGCATAGACTGGAGGATCCTGGGCTAAGGGGAAATGGATGGAGGAGGGCTGAGGTGCATGCTGATACGCAAGCCACAGGCAGGCTCTGCAGGAGAAGCCAGCACAGCAGAGCCAGAGACACAGGAGCAGGCTCCGGAGCCCGGCCACCTGGAATGAGTCCCAGCCATGCCCCTTCTCATTTGTGTGACCTCAGAAAGGGGCATCACCTCTCCGGGCCTTAATCTTTTCATCCACTAAATGGGATAATCATAGAACAAGATGAGAGAATGAGCATGGAGCCTGCACAGGAGAGCTTTAAGCAATGATGAGAATGAAGGGAAGCGTCATTTCTCAAAGTCCATGGACCCGGGCCTGAGCCCTGCACATACTTCCTCCCCAAGCCCTACATATCTCCCCAGAGCCGTGCATTTGGGAGAGCAGATAGAGAGTGCTGAGCAGTTCCTCCAGGGGTACAGGGCTCTCTGGACCCAGATGTTGGGACACTTCAGGGATGGCCGTTCCCCCTCTCACATCCCACCAACCCTGGTCTCCCGAGCGAGGCCCTGCTGGGTCCCAAGCCCACCCTTTGGCAGCCAAGTAGAGCTGCCCCTCAATGAAATGTGACGAATGGTGGCCCTCAGAGCCATCAGCTTCCCAACTTAACTGACACCCCACTGCTTCCTTCTTTAGGAATTCTGATTCTCCCTTCACAGACTGTCATAAAACGAGGCTAGAAGGCTTCCTTCCAACATCCACAGAGATGATTCAGCCAAAATGTTCATGAGCAAATATTACAGGGAAACAACCCCAAAGGGGAAAGTTCCGCCAAAGACCTACACGTTATTCTTCACTCAGTGCTTCATTTTTGGAGACAAAAGAAACCCTACCGTTCATCTGCTCCACAATGCAGGCGAGTGACCCAGGACAGGGCATTCGCAGCAGGGAACGTTTATTGAGCACTCTCTGTATACCCTGCACCGCACCAGCCAACTCTGGCACATCATCTCATTTCATCCTCGCACCGTCTGTGAGGCAGGGCTGCTGCTAATCCCATGGCACTGGGGGAAACTGAAGCTCAAGGTGGTGGAGCCACTCCCACCTATGGGAAAATCCAGAGTCACACAGTCACAAGAAGAGCCCAGACCTGCCTGGCTTCAAAACAGGTGGTGAGCTCCCCATTGCTGGAGGTATTCAAGAGTCTGCAGAGGGACTCCAAGTATTCAGGAAGCGGGAGACTCCAAGATCACTGCCCCATGGATAGGCTCCATCTTCAACAGGGTTTCTCAATTTTGGTGCTATTGAGATTGTGGACTGGATAATTCATTGCTGTAGAGAAGCGTGTCCTGTGCATCGTGGCATGTTGAGCAGCATCCTTGGCCTCTGCCCAGCAGATGCAGGTAGCACCTCCTCAATCACGGCAACCAAAAACATCTCAAGACATTGCCAAAGGTCCCCTGGGGCGAGGGGGACAAAATCACCATTTGAGAACCACTGTTCTACAAGGATTTTTGAAAAAGCCAGCAGACATCCATGGAGACACGCACTGACAATGCAGGGAGGAGAAGTTTTACACCCCTGCAGTACCTTCTTGGGAGACAGTTGTGCACCGCAGCAGCCCTATATCATGGCAGAGATGCTGTATATCTGCTCCTCTGTCAGCATCCCAAAGGACCAGGAGGAATACTCCTGCACATTTAGAAAAGAAAGAGAGAGGAGACCCATGACCCAAAAATACGACATTGGAATTGAGGCACAATTTGACCTAAATGCAATAAAATTGTGCCATTAGTACCAGACCAGCAAGCACTACCCAACCCACTGATAACGCTGAGCTGCCACTAGACCTCAGTAAGCCTCGATATATTTTAGCCTTGATTTAAAACGGAAGAATCTGCAGGTCAGACCTGAAAAGATCCTTAGAAAGTAGAGATCTGCTCTCTGGTCCTGTGTTGTGAGTGTGTTGTGCGGTGTGAAGGTGGGGGCAGGCGGCAGGGGGAGCGGTGCTGGCCATCTGTGTTGGGCATCTTCTTTTTGTGCCCCCCATACAACCCCCAGATTGCCTCTCCACCCTTCTCCCCATGTGGACTTCAGTGGACTGTCTTGCCCTCCACCTTCTGATTTGGTTCTGCCAACTGGAGGCCCAGAAGGAAATCAGGGGCAGGGTAGATGGAGTCAGGGTCCTTGTTCCCCCTGCTCCTGCCGGCCAGAGTTTCTGAGGATTGGCTGCATCCCTTCACTGAAGGTCTCAGCCAAGGATCTTTTCTCCCTCGGCACCTTCTCCCCTTAACTCTTAACCTTCCCTCATCTGGATAGGAATGATGATGGCTCCCACTGACGCTAGACCCCAATTATACCCTCCTGTGTGGGTTCCCTACACTCTCCCCACACCTTTGTAAACAGTTCCTTAACTAAACTGTCCTCAAATTATCCCAATTATGTATGCACCATGTGTTTCCTGCTTGAGCCCTGACTGATAGATAAACCAAGTGGTTCTTTGTTCAAACAAAATTGTATGCAAAAACTCAGCAGATAAAACAGATCGGAGCGGAGTTCCTGCGTCCATTCACGTGGATTTATTATGTGTCAGCCCTTAGCCAGAGTCTCTGGGCTGGGGCTGAGGACACACTAGTGAGTGAGAACAGTGAGGTCCTTACTGGCTGGAGTATACAGTCTTGCAGGTGGCAAAGGTGGAGCAGGCGGCCTGAGCTCCTTGGTCCCCGACACTGTCTTTGTGGGGCCTTATTTAATAACCACAGAATGTCATGTTAAGGCCTGTGATCCAGTTCCCTTGTCCTACTCCCATTTTTCAGATAGGAAAGCTGAGGCCTAGAGGAAGAAAGGGAATTGCCCAATATTTAAGACAGTCTACCTTCTGGAAGTTAATGGAATCCTGCCTTTTTTTTTTTTTTTTTTAACGGATTCTCACTCTGTTGCCAGGCTGCAGTGCAGTAGCACGATCTTGGCTCACGACAACCTCCGCCTCCCAGGTTCAAGCAATTCTCCTGCCTCAGCCTCCTGAGTAGCTGGGACTACAGGTGTACGCCACCACACCCAGCTAATTTTTGTATTTTTAATAGAGATGGGGTTTCACCATGTTGGCCAGGATGGTCTCAATCTCTTGACCTCGTGATCTGCCCGCCTCAGCCTCCCAAAGTGCTGGGATTACAGATGTGAGCCACCACACCCAACTGGAACCCTGCCTTCTTAGTTTGGAGTGATGGCTAATATTTGGTGAGTTGTCAGTGTGTGCTGGACCCTTGACTACATACGGGTCACAGTTTAATCCCCTAATGACTCTCTGAAGTGGGAAAGAGTATTATCCCTACTTTATAGACAAGGCTTGGAGAGATGAAGTGACTTGTCCAGAATCACGGAGTGAGCTAGAGCCAGAGCTGGATGGAACCCAGGAAATCTATGGAGGAGGGAGAGGGGCTGTTAAAAATGTCACCCTCAGAAAAGCATCTGAGTGTGTGGTTTTTTTAATCATCTTGCAACCATAAGGAAAATTCTTGGTGCCTAAATCATCCCCTGAGACAGGGTAAGAGAGAGGCACAGGCATCCTGGATCCTTCAGATATCGGCTTCATTTCAGAACATTCCTGGCTGGAATGAAAATGGCACAGAAGCCAGTCAGTCAGGTTCACAGGAAGGGCTCAGGACGCGCATGAGAGTCCCTGAGAGTGCCCCCCGTGCACCCCAGCTTAAAATATCTCCACCAATGTCTCAGCACCCTGCCATGATGCTTGAAATGCCACCGTAAGAGTCACTTTTGTGCAGAGCATGACATGCACTTCTCAAAGGAACACAGGAAATAGGCATAAATTACCCGGATGCAGTGACACATTAAGGAAGGGGAAGAAAGGACTGGGAGTTTTTGAGCACCTACTAGGTGCTTTCCAGAGGGGAGACTCAGTAAATGGTAGTTTAATATTACATGGATCATATTTAGGGAATATATCTTATTTGTCACAACAGGGCAGTGAAGAGGGCATTGCCACCTTGATATTTAGAAATGTCAGGCTCAGAGAGGTTAAGTGATTTGCTCAAGGTCACACAGCTGATGTGGTGCAGAGCTAGGTTGGAGCTTCAATGGCAAGCCTGCCTACTTTCCATCACCTGTGCTATCACTCAAGCTCAAGGGACCAACTTTAAGGGGTTCCAATGGGCTACGGACAGAAAATGTGGATGTCTGAGGGGCAGTACTAATCTCGGGGGCACCGTAATGTCCCTGGGTCTGTCTCCCCATAAGAATTAGCTGTGACCTTCCCTGAGCTGGACTTCGGTTTCTTTTCAGGTAAAAAAAGAAGCTGCATTTGACACCCCCCCACCTTAGCTTTCTTCTATTTCTGAAGTTCTGCGCACCACAAATTTGCTGATGGTATGCAAATTTGCATAGACTAATTTATGCAAATTCACATTGGTCCCTAGCAAGGTTCAACCCAATTGAATACTATTAACAACAGATACTTTCAAAAGGCAAAAAGGCCAGGCGCAGTGGCTCACACCTATAATCCTAGGACTTGGGAGGCCGAGGCAGGTGGATCGGTTGAGCCCAGAAGTTGGAGACTGGCCTGGGCAAAATAGTGAAAGCCCATCTCTACAAAAAAATAGAAAAAATTAGCTGGGCATGGTGGCATGCACCTGTAAATCCAGATACTTGGACGGTTGATGGGGGAGGATGGCTTGAGCCATCTGGAGACTGAGGCAGCAGTGAGCCACGACTGCGCCATTGCCCTCCAGTCTGGGTGACAGAGGGAGGCCTTGCATCAAAAATAAAAGGTGGGCCGGGCGCGGTGGCTCAAGTCTGTAATCCCAGCACTTTGGGAGGCCGAGACGGGCGGATCACGAGGTCAGGAGATCGAGACCATCCTGGCTAACACGGTGAAACCCCGTCTCTACTAAAAAATACAAAAAACTAGCGGGGCGAGGTGGCCAACGCCTGTAGTCCCAGCTGCTCGGGAGGCTGAGGCAGGAGAATGGCGTGAACCCGGGAGGCGGAGCTTGCAGTGAGCCGAGATCCGGCCACTGCACTCCAGCCTGGGCCACAGAGCGAGACTCTGTCTCAAAAAAAATAAATAAATAAAATAAAATAAAAGGCATCTATTTAATGGGTGCAGAAGAAAGTGCTCTCCACCTCCCATCCCTGCCTGTTCCCCACCTATGTCCCAGAACAGGGCACTCAGACTGTGGGTCTTTTTCCTTAGGATGAAGAGGTAGGAAAACAGGCAAGGCATGAGCAACCTCTCACAGACTGTGGTGTGGACCAGCTGCTGCTGGTTACTTGGAGTTATTTGCTGCATAGGGGATGTCATCAGGGTTAAACTGGATCCCAGAGAGGGGGTCCCTGCACTCCTGTGATGACCCAAGCCCTACCCAAGTAGAATTTGCAGACCCCTCTCCTGTCCTTGCACTCATGGACCCCTCGCCCTGAGGCTGTTAGAAGCAGCTTGTTAAAGGCAGCAAATTTAAAAATAAAATGTTTAAAAATTTTTTTAAAAAAGAGAAGCAATGTCTCTTCTCTAAACAGATCGATTCTTGCTGGGACACCTCAATGATCTCATTGTGCCTGGCTCACCACCCTATGTTACTTACAGAGACCTGCTGGTATTTCTGAAGAACTAGAACATTCCTCCAGCCGGATCTCACTCGCAAGTACAATATGATCTCCCATCGTATACTTTTAACCACAGCCTCCTCAATATCCCAACCCAAACACGGTCAGTGTAACTTGGATGGCTCCAATTCCCAGACAGGGTCATCAGACAGCGATCTCCGGAAAATTCCTCCCAGGTGGGCTGCCTGTCGGAGAATCACAAAAAGACATTTTATGTTAAATTAACCTCCACTATGATATGGGTGTACGGCATCCAAGAAGGGATAAATCAGCTGCACAAAGAACTTTAAACCAGGCACAGTGGTGCACACCTGTAGTCCCAGCTACTCAAGAGGCAGAGGCCAGAGGATCACTTGAGGCCAGGAGATCGAGGCTGCAATGAGCCGTGGTGATGCCTGTGAATAGCCACAGCATTCCACCCTGGGGAACATAGCGAGAGTCTGTTTCTTTAAAAAATAATAATAATTAATTAATTAATTAATTAATTTTGAAAATTTTGAAATAAATAAGAAGAACTTTGATCCAGCCTTTAAACTCTAGGACTTGGTGGACAAGTTGGGAAGGAAGACCATGCCTGGGGCGAAATAGCAGGAGCACAGGTGTGGAGGCACAACAGAGCTGGTTCTTGGTAGACTAGGGAGGAAGAGGAGCCGCCAACCCACCAGAAAAGAAAATGGCCCTTTTGGGAGTAATGGGAAATAAGGGGTTTTTATTTGGTTTTGTTTGTTTGTTTGCAACAGAGTCTTGCTCTGTTGCCCAGGCTAGAGTGCAGTGGCACAATCGTAGCTCACTGCAGCCTCGAACTCCTGGGCTCCAGTGATCCTCCCATCTCAGCCACCCTAGTAGCTGGGACTACCAGCACACTCTACCATGCCCAGCTAATTTTTATTTTTTGTAGAGATGAGGTCACACTATGTTGCCCAGGCTGGTCTCAAATTCCTGGGCTCAAGCAATCTTCCTGCCTTGGCCTCCCAAAGTGCTGGGATTACAGGTGTGAGCCACTGCAGCTAGCCAGAAATAAGTTTTTTAATAGATGGAGTGTGCAGACTATCAAAGCCTTTGAAAGGCAGGCAGGTGAAGTTTATAGTTAATTTAATACACAGGAGGGAGCCTCACAAGGTGTTTGAGCAGGGAAATAATAATGCAAGATAGAGTCGATCATCATTATTCAGGGGTTCTGTTTTTGCAAATTCACCTACTTGATAAAATGTATTTCTAACCCCAAAATCAATACCCACAACTCTTCCCTGTGTGCCGGCAGTGTAGTGAAACATACAAGTCCCTCACACACGTGTTTTCGGCTGCGGCTGAGCAAGGCTGTCTTATTTCAGCTCTCATACTATTAGCTAGTCTTTTTGTAGTCTATTTAGTTCCATCTTTTTCACATGTGTGTGTTTTGTTGCTTTTGGTGATTTTGTTCTTGAAAAGGGGCCCAAGCACGGTGTTGAAGCGCTGTCTCGTGTTCCTAAGCCTAAGAAAATCGTGAGGTGCCTTACAGAGAAAATGCATGCATTCGGTTAGCTTCACTCAGGCATGAGTTACAGTGCTTCCGGCCGTGAGTTCAACATTTAATAACCCAACAATAAATATTAAATAAGGTATCTTTAAACAGAACCACACACAAAACTTGGTTATGTGTTGATCAGTTGACAATCTAGAAGCAATGGGTCAGTTTTCACTAATTCAGTGATCGCAGCAACTTTATAGAGCATAACTAGCACCAATAATAAGAATCGCCTATATCAGCATTTTGGACTCTAAGGAGACCACAAGACCATGAAAGGAAGCCATCTCTTAAGACAGTGTATGCTCCAGAGTCAAACTACCTGGTTCAAATCCCGGCTCTTCTGCTTACTAGCTGTGCCACCTTGGGTGAGTTGCTTGTCTTCTCTGTGCCACAGTATTTCATCTGTAAAACAGACACAACGATTGTCTCTTTATCACAGAGTGACTAGGAGAATTTAAACGTGTTCATGTTTGTCAAGTTCTCAGAAGATTATCTGGGACATAATGAATCCTGTTTACATGTTTTGTGTTTGTTAAATAAATAAAGGGATAAGGTGAGAGAAAGAGAGAGAGAGAGCATGCACCTCATTTCACAGGTGAGGAATCTGAGTCAGGCCCACATCTGAGTCTTTCCAGCGACGAAATGGGGAGGCAGCTGGCTCTGGGGAACCCAGATCAGAGTCAGTTCAATGATGGGGATGCAAAATTGAGGTGGTGGTGACAACCACAGGGACAGGCGCTAACCCACGGTGCTGAGCAAAGGCACGGTGTGACTGAGGGACCCGCCAAGACCCATCCACCTGTGACCACCAAGGGACACTTCCTCTTACTCCCCCTTTCCAAGCCACAGCCAGATGGAACCCAGAGTGCTCTGAAGATGCACCTCTCCACCTCGCCGTTTAAGAATTACTAGGCATCTCCAGGCTGTGCAGCTGAGGAGCAAGAAATACTACCGCGCCCCAGCAGAAAGCTAATGAGAAACCGAACCCAGCCAGACAGAAGCTTAACAAGAAATACTGGCCCGGGCTCCCCAGAAGAAGAGCAGGCTCCGAAGGCCTGGCAGGCCGCCTGCCATCTCCCCGCAATACATTGATCGGTGCAGGGAAAGCTGGAGACCGCGGGGAAGGAGATAAACGAGAAGATGTATGACAGCAGGGGCCCAGGGCTGATGAAAGGGGAAGGGAAGGTGGCTTAAATCAAGGGGCAAGTGCCACGAGAGGGGCGGATAACAGGATTTGTGTTTACGCTTAACGAGGAGAATTGGTGGAGGTGCTGCTCTGGGGCAGGGGAGGTGGGTGAAGACTTGGGGGGGAAGAGGAAGAGGGGCTCCAGGGAGGGTAAGCCATGCTCCAAGCAAATCACTAACATGAGCCAGGGGTAAGTCCCTGAAATGGCAAAATCCTTCCTGGTCCTTTTGGCTGGAGCTGCGATTGCCTTTTATCTTCTCTCCTTTGTTTCCTAACTTTCCTGAGTGTCCAGGAAAGAATATCCACCTCTGCCCCTTTCTCCCACCACCAAGTCATCAGAATTCAAAGCCTGTGTCCGGACAACAGGGACAACAGGAAATGCTCACCGAGCACTTCCTCTGTGCTTCTGGCTGGGCCGAGAGCTTCCTGTGTCTTACTCCAACTAATATTCATCCCATGATGGAGGCACTGCGGTTGTTCTCATTGCACAGATAAGGAAACTGAAATTCAGAGAGGCCCTCCAATGACACAGAACGGTGCTGAAATTCCAGCCCGGGCAGTGTGACTCCAGTGCTAACCATGATTCCACACTGAACCTGCTGACATCCTCAGCATTGATGCCTAATGGGAGATTGTTTGCCTGCATTTCACGCCTTTGAACCACCTCCGATTTCTGCATCGCTGTGGCACACCGTTTCACGCAGGCTAGTAACACTCTTTGCAAGAAGCGGCCAGAAAATGACTCCACTTTTCTGCCTTAGGGACTTCTCCAAAGATGCAGAAGCAGCTCAGTTCTCCACTAGGTGCAGCCAACAAGTACAAGGCACTCACGTCCCCAGGGCTGGCCCTCTGCTAGGGGATGAGGAGTTGAGGGATAAATGCCCCCATCCCTCAGGGGGGCAATCCTGAGGCACATTCTGCAGGGCTCCTCAGAGGATGTCTGGCAGGCTAGAGTCCCATTTTCCCCCAGTGATAACCAGCTACACATGCCCTTATAAGGTAGCCTGCTTTTCTTCCTCATCTCCCTGCTCCCTCACTCCTGCTTCCTGCGTCTCCTTCCAGCCGACTCTCCTGCATCCAAGTCCTCCTCTCAGGCTCCACTGGGCGGGGATCGCAAACTAGGATAGGGCACCACCTCAGTTAAACAAGAAATGCAAGAAATAGGACCAGTTTACCAAAGATAAACTTTGGGGAGATTGCGTGATAAGGAGATGAAAAGGGGGTCTCTCTCTTTCTCTCTCTCTGCGGTTTTACGGACACCTCTTTTAATGATTTAGCAAGATATTTCCTTGTTTTTAACACATTTCTATTAAATATAGAATATGGCATTAAGACTGGGTATGGCGGCTCATGCCTGTAAGCCCAGCACTTTGGGATGCCGAGGTGAGAAGACCACTTGAGGTCAGGAGTTCGAGACCAGCCTGGCCAACATGGTGAAACCCCATATCTACTTAAAAAATACAAAAAATAGTTGGGCGTAGTGACGTGCACCTGTAATCCCAGCTAGCAGGGGAGGTTAAGACAGGAGAATCGCTTGAACCTGGGAGGCGAAGGTTGCAGCGAGCTGAGAGCCAACCTGGGCGACAGAGCAAGACTCAACTCAAAAAAAAAAAAAAAAAAAAAAAAGAATATAGCATTAAAATGGGAGTATTTGGGCCTCTATTGAGGTAGTCTGAATTTATATATAATTTAGAATAGGATAAAAACAGAGTGATAATTTTAACTTCACTTTGTTACAATGATATGGTTTCTCTTATTCTCTCCAATTTTATTCATCTATTGAGAACTTAAGAACTTTGGTCAATGCTTTTTCCCCATCCAGAGAAGTGCTGGGGGAAATGTGTCTGTCTTTCTTTGCACCCTTGACTTTTTCCTAATTCTGCTAATGACAGCCTGACTCCTATGAACCCTGACATCCAGTTGGTGGCATCGCCAGTCCTCAAAAGCCAGAAACCACCTCTACAGAGGTGACTCCATGTTAAAACAGAGCAAGACTCCATCTTAAAAAGAAAAAAAAAGTATATATATATATACACATCAGACAGTACAAGTTGTTACTACACTCCCACCACTACCTGAAGATTGTGATTTCCTGAGACTGGGCCAATTTTTCTCACCAGGGCTTCTCACTGCCCCCCACAGTGGGTTCCCAGCAACTCCAACCCCTTCTGTATCACCCATGAGAAATCTACACAACAGAGGCTCTGGACTGTGCTTCTTGGGGTGAGCAGGGTGGGGAACGGCAGTGGCTCTACGTTAATCTTACTGCCAGAAGGAGACTCCATTAGGTTCCTAGGGTCACCATAATAATAATTGCCCTGGACCAGGTGCAGTAGCTTACACCTGTAATCCCAACACTTTGAGAGGCTGAGACAGGAAGATCGCTTGAGCTCAGGAGCTCAAACCTGGGCAACATAGTGAAACCCCGTCTCTACAAAAATAATAATAATAATAATACAAAAATTAGCCAGGCATGGTGGCATGTTCCTGTAGTCCCAGCTACACAGGAGGCTGAGGTGGGAGGATTGCTTGAGCCCAGGGGTGAAGGCTGCAATGAACTGTGATTGCACCACTGCCCTCCAGCATGGGCAACAGAGCAAGAACCTATCTCAAAACAAACAAACAAAAAGTACCCCAAACTAGAAGCCTTAAAACACAGAAATGTATTCTCTCACAGTTCTGGAGGTTCAGAGTCTAAACTCCAGGTGCAGGAGGGCCATGCTCCCTCTGAAGCCTGTATGGGAGAATCCTCCCTTGCATCTTCCAGCTTCCGGTGGTGGCCGTCAATCTTCAGCACCCCTTGGCTTGCAGCTGCATCTCTCCAATCTCTGCCTCTGTTATCACGTGACCGTCCCCCTGTGTGTCTGTCCTCACGTTATCTTCCTTCTTCTTATGAAGACACCAGTCATATTGGATTAAGGGTACACCCTACTCCAGTGTACCCTCTTCTTATCTAATTATATCTGCAATTACCCTGTTCCCAAATAATAGCGCATTCTGAGATACCGGGGGTTAGAAGTTCACCATCTCTTTTGTGGGACACAATTCAACCTATGCCAGAGACTCGGATACCATGTTTTCAACCATCTCCTATGTCAGATGGGGAAACTGAGGCAGTCAAAAAGAGTGGTTAAAACCCAAAGAAACCTGAGGTCCAATTCCAGCTGGGCCACTTACCAGCAGAGTGACCTCTGGCAAGTAAGTCACCTCTCTGAGCCTCAGTTTCTTTGTCGACAGAATAGGGGTTAATAGTAATCCTGCCTTATTCAAAGGCATGTGGTGAATTCCTGTTCTCAGCCACTGCCTGAGAAATATTCTCTCTTGCATTTTCTCATTTCCTTCTTTACCATGAGGGTCCGAAAACAAATCACAGCTTCAGCAAAGCATAGATAGATTCTGGCCTTTGAAGTCAAAATGACTTGAGTTTGCAAAATAGATGCTTCCTTTCCTAACTGTGTGACCTTAGGAAAGTGACCTCACCTCTCTGTAAACTAAAGAGAATACTAGTCCCTCCCTCCCAGAGTCAGCGAGAATTTAAACAACTGCACATGATGCTCCAAGCAGAGAATGTAGTACATGGTGCTTGATCAGAAGTAACCACTATTGCTGCTGCTGCCACTGCAGCAGGCACTGTCGGTATCCCACCCACATCCCCTTGGCAACCACCTACTGGACAGCTTCCTATTGCAAGTACCTGTGATCTCTGCTGTCTCTGACTACCAGATATCATCAGCTCACATACAGGACATATAGAAAGTGTCAGGGGCACTTCACTATTCACCCCACCCCCCAGCCCTCAACCGATGGCTGATAGGAAGTGGTGAATCAATACCTCAGCTCCCTCACGTCTTGGATGAAACAACCAAAGGTATGAGGTATGCTCTACACAGCCTCCCAGAGGTCCCCAGCAGGACTAAGCCCATTGCCCACTATGTAACCTGCTCCTTCATATACCTGCATTGGGTCCTTTTCTTCCCTGGCTAACTTCCCACTCCCCGCCTGTGGATCACCTCCCCTAGTAAATTACCTGCACTAAAGTAATTGTCTCAGGGTCTGCTTCTGGTGGAACCCAACCTAAAACATGTATTTCTAACCTAAGCTTCAGGGACCCTCAGTCCCTGGCTTTGTGTCTTTGGAGTCCCTCTGAAAGCACTAACCTCCTCCTCTTCCAGTGCTGTCTTCAAACTTCCATTCCTACCTCACTAGAGAGGCTGCT